TGGGAAGACAGGTGCATTAGCTCCGGCAGTCGCGGCTTCTTCCCGAAGGAATGCGTCATGTTGCCATCTGTCCTTGTTTAACATAAGGTGCTGGCTGCCAAGCCGGGCAGTAGAGAAGGGACAGGGCTTGGCACCTTCCCGTTGGTGTGTGGCTTTCCCTGCAGCGCTTGTTTGACTCGGTGCTCGAGACTGGCACTGCTTCCCAGCATGGCAGGGTTTTTTTTTGCTGTTTTTTAGCAATGAATAGCACCTGCAACAGATTTGGGCAGACGTACTGGAGAAGAGGGGAGTTAAGTCTGCTTATGTGGGGCAAATATTCTTGAAGAGAACGTGCACCTTCGTCTGATCCCTCTCGGCAGAAGGCAGTCTGTGCGCGGTATCGCCCAGGGCTTGCTTTGCCATCCAGCTCGTGCAGAGGAGTTGGAGCTGAAGCCTCTGTGGGTCACTGTGCGTGTGGCTGAGGGGCTGCCAAAGCCTGGGGTATGGCTTCGGGCTGGATGCAAGGCCCTCCCTCTTTGGGAAGGTTTCTGTGGATGGCTGTGCGTGCTGTTAGCCCAGGATCGGAGCTGCTCGGACACGAGCTCTCCCCAGATTTAGCAGTAAGGGCAGAGGGCATCGTTTCTTCGAGCAAGCCTCTGTGGGTCACTGTGCGTGTGGCTGAGGGGCTGCCAAAGCCTGGGGTATGGCTTCGGGCTGGATGCAAGGCCCTCCCTCTTTGGGAAGGTTTCTGTGGATGGCTGTGCGTGCTGTTAGCCCAGGATCGGAGCTGCTCGGACACGAGCTCTCCCCAGATTTAGCAGTAAGGGCAGAGGGCATCGTTTCTTCGAGCAACCCGCGTGCTTCTGGCAGCGGCTGCTGCTCCCCCTGCCAGTGAGCTGCCGAGGGAAGGGAAGGTGCCTCTGGTCCCAGGGTGAACATGGGGCAGGGGGAAGTCGGGGGACACAGCCCTGGGCAGAGCAGCAGGCTCGCAGGGAAGCATCCCGAGCTGAGACGCACAGATACCAGTCTCGGAGCCCTAACGAAGCGCCATGAGCTGACACTGCAGTTGTTGCTTTGCTGTGGAGGTGGGATGGACTTGGCATCTCTCAGGACTGGCTGAGGTGGTGAGTAACTCGCCCCACTGCCGAGCATGGGAGCCAGAGCCAGAACGCCATAGTGCCCTTCACGCGAGAGGCTGCGGGGACGTGCCTGTGCTGGGAGAAGGTGCGGGGAGGAGCATCAGCCTGGACCCCTTAAGCTGTTGACAGGTTTTATTTATGAAGTGGTGCTGTATGATCTGGAAACGGCGCTTGGAGCGTGGGCTGGGCAGTGTCTCTTAACCCTTTGGGATAGTCTAGACCCGCTTCTGTGCAAAGCTGCTGGGTTTGGGTTGAGCAGAGAAGAGACTGGCACGGGAGAGGACATGGTAGCCCTGGTTGTTGCCTGGGTGTTTTTGGTGCTGTTCTGCCTGTTCAGCTCGGTGCAAATGTTTGTCGGGACAGCCCGTTCCCTCAGTGCTGGAGGAGAGATGTGGGTGAGCACCAAGGGGCTGGTAGCAGCAGGCAGTGGGAAACCCTTGTTGAACCTGTTAGCTTTCGAGTGAGATGCCATCAGTAGGTTTCAGAGTTACCAGCGAGGTGTCCTGCTGGTAGCTGTGGGCTGTTGCAGTCCCTGCAGACCAAGGCATACGTCGGTACTCCCAAGGTTTGAGCTGCGGTCTCGGATGCTCGCACGTGACCATGAGCCATCAGCATGCCCTGGTTGCCAAGAAGGCCGATGGTCTCCTGGGGTGCATTCAGAGGAGTGTGGCCAGCAGGACGAGGGAGGTTCTCCTCCCCCTCTGCTCTGCCCTGGTGAGGACTCATCTGGAGTACTGTGTCCAGTTCTGGGCTCTCCAGTTCAAGAAAGATGAGGAGCTACTGGAGAGAGCCCAGCGGAGGGCTA